AGCTCTGGTTTCTAAGTATCCGACTGAGAGAAGCCCTGTAGGCACTTTCGGGGAGTGTATACAAAGCATGCACCTAGATGCCTAACCGACACTCTAGGAAGGCCGCCGACACTCTAGGAAGGCCCAAACACGGAGAGCCGAGGCCTCNNCCGACCATCGTCTGTGGGCCCGCGGCCTCAGCGGAGCCAGTGTCAGCAGAGTCCAGGCGCACTTCCGAAGTAAGGACTTCTTCCCTAAGTTCCCTAAGAAAGGCCTCGGCATTGCTCCGATCGGCAAAGAAGCCGGCCGGAGACCTCGGGGTTGAGGGGGGAGTGCGGTGTCCGGCTTTCTGGGATGTCTGCTTGCGCGTGTAACAAGTTCTTTGGCCATGCTCTGTGACATGCTAGGCACGCTAGGTAACCACTTCCACGGTTCCGCTTTCAATTCTGACACGAACAAAAAAGTCTCCCGGACACAACTCCTCATCCTAACTAGAGAACCGCTTGATACCTGAAATCTTCCCAGGCTGGCACCTTTCGCCGGCATCGCTGCGCAAGTGGTCCGGAACCTCAAAAGAGCAGCCAGGGCACTGTCACTGTATGTGTTGAAGCAGCCTGAACGGAACTTCTCTGTCCAGTGCGTGCAGCAAAGTGCATCGTTGACATGACACGTCCTTTTGCAGGAGTGGGCTCAGAGGCTCTAGGCTTCGGTGATACTCGTGCACTAGGCAGTAGCACCAGACCAGCACCGGCACGGGCAGCAGCACAGGCAGCAGCACGGGCACCAGCACGAGCACCAGCACGGGCACCAGCACAGGCAGCAGCACGGGCACCAGCACAGACAGCAGCACAAGCGCGGGCATCAGCAACACCAGCAATAGCACCGGCACGGAGCGCACCACTAGGAGGCCATCTTGGCCGTTTAATGTCATGTCCCGTCGCTGGGACGGGGAATGGCGCACCAACTGGGAAGAAAACCAGAGGAAAAGACAGACGCCCTCGGGATCCTCGAACGCCAAATGCGATCAGCGCTGCCAGAAGCTGGCCGCGAGACTGAAGGAAAAGGAGGAAGAGATGGAGGACAAGGCGGGAACACAGTGTAACTTGGGTTTGGGAATCTTGAACACAGTCNNTGCAGAGGTGGGGCGGGAGTCACGCATGAAGCAGAACCGCAAGCAGACACAGACACAGCAGAATGACGCAGCCAGGAGAGATTTCAACAGCGTCTCCAAGAGGCCGCCTTGCAGTTCAGAACAACGGATGTCGGGCACTTGGCACATCAGCAACATCAAGACCTCGCTGGGCCTGGCTTGTTCCGTAACCTCAGGGCTTCCGCATCGCAAACCTCGCAGAAGCCCGGGTCGCTCTGAAGTCTGAGGCCAGGAACAGGGAACAATTTGTGCATGGCAGGGCCGAGGTTCCATTTGAGACGGTTTTGTTTGGGGGGTCCTGATGCAGGAGAGCCTTCGGCAGAAGCTTGCCAAAGCCGAGCAGAAGGAAGCCGTGCTGGAGGCACATTTTCGCACATTTTCTTGCAACCGTTTGCGGTTAGCTTCCTTGCTGGGCAGGCCAGTTACAAGGAGGAGTTGAGATCCATGGAGCAGAAGCTCGGGAAGCTCGGGACGGCGGAGGCCACGATGGTAGTACCCGGCATGTTGCCGGTTCCACTGGGCTTCTGCCAGGAGCACCTCGCGAAGCATGAGTCCGCCACGGAGCAGAAGCTGCTTGAGATGGCCAAGGATGTGTTAGTGTCGTTCATCTCTGCAGTTCGAGTGTAGAATCCATTGGCAGGAGCAGGATGCCACTGCCAGCAAGCACCAGCAAAGCCTCCTGGCTCTGGAGAGGGCGAACGCGGTGTTGAAGTCGGACAAGGCGGGGAAACGGGAGTAACCGGAGCCTGCAGCTGGAACACTCCGGGCAGACGATCAGGACCGGCTGCTAGACGCGAATCAGCGGCGGTCAAAGGCTCAAGCCAGGAGCGAGGCCAGTCAGTGTTTGAACTTCAAGCTGCTGGGTTTCAAGTCATTAATTTGTACTGCAGCCAGGCACGTATTCGAGAGCTGGAGGCCAGGCGCAGCCAACACTCGTGATTTTCTATCTCCCCTCACGGACGGTCCGTGACTAGCTTTGTTCTACTTCTGGAGGAGATGATGAGAGAAGAGATCCAAGCCGCGGAAACCAAGGTCGGCGAAATCGAGAACGTAGTATCGGGAGTGTAGAACGACAAATTTCCCTCAACACAGCGCAACCTGCAGGAGGAGCTGGCCAGAGCACAGCTCGAGGAGGCGGGTGTGGCACAACTTGCTTTAGTTCAAAGGTTTTCAACATGCACGTGAACAGGCGACGATGACCATTGAAGAGGAGGTCCAGACCGCCCTCGAAGCTGAGGTGGGGCTTGCAGTGCGACCCAAAGTAGGGCTCGTGGTCGCAATGTAACTGAGGAAAGATTGGAGGCTTCCGAGGAGGCTGCAGCCGAAGCCTATGCTCGGGCCGAGGCAGGTACTCAATGGCATCAGGCCGAGATTGAGTCAGTTGTTTCGTGGACAGGTTCGTTGTCGGGAGCAACAGCAGGCCGAGAACTCACAGCTGACGGAGCTGCAGGTGGGGTCCAGAGATACAGGCAATCGGAACACAACATGAGCAACAGGCCAGCAATNNTGGCTCAGCTGCAGGCCGGTTCACGTGTGCTGTCGACGTTAGCCCCCCTCACAGTACTCGCCGGTTCAGGCACAGCAGCACCTGGAGACCTGCGAGATGCAGGAAATGGTGCAGTGCCTCGACGACACCGAGGTGCTGACACGCAAATCCCACCAATCCCAAACCTTGTAAGTGGACAGGGCCGCGAGCTCATCTTGAACCTCGAGCTGCGGGCATTGCAGGAGAAGGTGCTCCGGCGTTTAATTAGGGTTTTACGGGTTACCGGCGCTGAATTTTGCAAGGCGACAGAGGAGGCGGAGCTGAAGGAGGACTTAGCCGCTGCAGAGTTCGAGCAGGCCGGCTGCGAAACTTGCGAGATAAGTCAAGCGCCAGCTTTCCTGTCCTTGTCAGGAGCTCCTGCGCAATGCTCTCCGGGACCAGATGGAGTTGCGTTCGCAGGCCCCTAGATTCGGCATTGTCTCCGTGAGAATCCCCTGCGACATGCACAGGTCCTCGGGGAGCCCGGAGGCTCCGGGTCCAAGGACTTCTTCTGCTAAGACGAGGATGTGTTATTTTTCGTTTCCTCTACGATAGGAGCCGACCGGGCCTTCCTGCAGCCCGTTCTCGCCTCTCCCGACGGCTATGCGACTGCCGACCGACTTCGAAGCCGCTCCTACGTCGCCAGCCGCTGCTAAGCTGACCCAGGAATTAAGCTCCACTCAGCTCGCGCATTACTTTCCTGCATGAAATCCGCAACTCTCGTGTACTGAGGAGATGAGTGCCGGGATCAAGCGGCGGAGCCCGACTGACTCGGGCGATCCCGCGACTTTGGCCAAACTGAAAACTCTTTTCTTTGCTCTGTTCTTTGCTATTGAACAGTTCGGAAAACCTCTATTCTCCTGTACTTAGGACATGGAAGAACCTACAGAGGTGGCCCCGCCTGACAGCGATGCATCCGCTACATGATGCAGCCCCTCAGCGAAATCAAAGCACCAATGCACGATTCGGGCCCCCGACTTCAGTCTGTATGTTCAAGGGGATGTAGATGCCTTCTCAAACGTCGACCTTGACCCAGGGCACAAATATGAACACTAATATCAATCACATATGAAGCCGATCCGAGGAGGGCAGCAGACAACCGAGGGTGTTGGATGTTGCGCTGAGAAAGGCATGCTTCTAGAAGACATGTGCATGCAATTTGAGTCTACAGAGTGAACTCAGGCTCCGATCCCTACAGAGAGGAGGACCCGTGATTCAGTGAGGCCCCGACTGCAGTCAGTCATCCAGGGAATGATAACCTCAATACTTCAATGCAGGCCGTGGTGACTGATGCTCACTGGCGACTCTTGGACTCGCAGAAGTTGCTTTTGTAGCAGTACACAGACTATACTCCAATAAGCAATATGACGCAGTGGTGCCACTTCCCATCTGAGGCTCATCATGCAGACACTGCATATCTACTCTGGCTGGGCAAGCGGCTCTCGACGACGACAGACACTTGGCCGAGGAATCGGATGAACATGCTGGCACACAGCTGAAGCTTCGATTATTTCTCAAGTCATCCAAGGACGTGTTGCCTCTCAGACCAGCGCAACAGTCGACAAAATGTGCCCTGCAATGCTGACCGCTGCCAGATGTTGCATGCTGGGAAGACCACTCGGAAAGCAAACTGATGTGCCGTTCCTCTACTGAGTGCAGACATATTGGGCCCCTCTATCTCGCTCTCTCTCCCTCTCTCACTTTGTCGACATCTCAAACCACGACGGCGAAGATGACAGAATCCCCCTGTGGTGCACACTGCTTTCCCTGCAAAATAAAGATGCGATGTTGCTGAGGCTGCAACGAGCTCCAACTCCGCTGGAGCCGCAGACAGAGTCGAGAGAGAGTGCTTGTCGGAGAGGGAGAGAGATGGAGAGACAGAGAGAGAGAGAGAGAGAGAGAGCGACAGGGAGAGAGAGAGAGAGACAGAGAGAGGGAGAGACAGGCCGACCTTGTCTGCGCCATCACGGCACATCACCAGGTCCTAACACAATGCTCCTTCTCAAACTTCTCCCGATTGATCTTTGCGCCCTCACGGCACATTGGTCGTCTGTCTGGTCGTCTGCGCCATCACGGCACATTTCCTCATCTCTCTTGTCGTCTGCGCCGTCACGGCACATGTTCATGTTCGTCGTCGTTCTGCGCCATCACGGCACATCTTTCGGGTCCTTGCACGCTGCTCTTACTCAAACTTCTCCCAAATTGTTTGATCTGCGCCATCACGGCACATCGATTCGATCCTGCGCCATCACGGCACATTGACTTGCCCCTTCGCAGGCATAGGTCACATCTTTCGGGTTCTAACACGATGCTCTTACTCAATCTTCTCCCAACGATTCCTTCTGCGCCATCACGACACATCTGTCGCTTGTCCTGTCGTCTGCGCCATCACGGCACATTTCTTCGTCGTCTGCGCCCTCACGGCACATGCGTCGTCGTCTGCGCCATCACGGCACAAATTAGCTTCTTGATCTTCTCCCCGGGCTTGCCTGCAGGGCCCTGAAATGAACGCGGGGTTTCGGGACTTAGGGGCCTTAAGGTTGATTTAAGGTTTTAATGTGTAAGGTTTGAGGGCTTCTAGGGTTTTCGCTATATAATGTCCCAGGCGGCGAATATATGCTGAAGTCCTCACTTTCAGGATACTTACGGGGTCCTAAAAACATGTCTAATCTCGAATGCGACAATAGGCTGTAACACTAGTAGTCTGGGTATTTCCGAACTAGGTACTCTGCTGACCCATGTGTGTATGGCATGCATGTATGTGCATGTCGCAGGTGCAGAAACACATGCAACCAAGCAAGCTTTCTTGATTCTGCTTTGTGTGCGTTGACTGCATTGGGCTGGCACATGACATGTTTCCAGCCATTAACACTTTCCTACTCCAACAAAAAGCAAACTGAAGCGCCATGTTCAAGAAGTGCTAGAAAAACTTCAAATAACAAAATATTTGCTTCACATGCTACATCCGCACACTTCGGACACCGAAACACGGAAGGATTTAAAAGAAAAGCCGTTAACAAAAGGCACGTTTGATTCTTCCAGAAGAAGTGCAGAAAGACACAGCAAACAAAACAACTGCTTGGACTTCGTCTGGAACTGGTTTCTTTCTCTGGTTTGCAAACTAAAACATGACCTTTGGAAACCTGACTTTTTACACGCTTCGTTAGATTCTTTTGTATGTCGGGTACACTACGCACACCGAAACACGGCTAGCTTTCAGCAACATCCGTTAATGGGCGCCCAGTTGACCAAACTGCATCATGAACATTTCAAAGTTCAATCAGGAAAGTAAGGTTGCCCCATACAACTCATTCCCTCATTCCCGACTGAGCATCAGCAAGTTTTAGGAGCTGAGCAACTCTATGATCCTGAAGCCCCAACCTCCAAAAAGCCCAAGACCACTGCAGGATTACACCACGCAGCAGTTCCTGGTCAAGAATGAGAGTCCCTTCGAGCTGGTCTTCAAACTGGAGTGGCCAGGCTTTCAGTGACCTTAAACCCCAAACCCTATACCCTAAGCCCCAAAACCCTGCAAAGCCTAAACCCTTATACCCTAAACCCTAAACCCCTAAACCCTAAACCCTAAACCGTGTGGGATTGAGGGTTTGGGTTCAGGGCGTGGTGTGTAGGGCTTTAGTTTTAGAGTGTTGGAGCTGGGACGTCAGCGTTCTAGCTGTTAGGGAACATCGGCCGCCCTACCTCTTTTAGCCCAAGATCCGTTACGGTATAGGGATTTCCCTAAACCCTAGACCCTGAAATTTAGAGTCTAGGGCCTGCGGCGCCCTTCGCGTTGAAGCTCCGGGCGGTCGAGTGTTCAACTCATAGTCCGACTCCGACTGCTACCACATACTACTGGCTACTACCACTTCTACTTCTACTTCTACTTCTTCTAATTACTACTACTACTACTACTACTACTACTACTACTACTTCTACTTCTACTTCTAAAGCTACTACTGCTGCTGCTGCTACTACTACTACGACGACGACGACTACTACTACTACTACTACTACTCCTACTACTACTACTACTACTACTACTACTACTACTGCTTGTGACTACTACTACGGCTTGTGACTACTTCCTAATTCTTCTACTGCTACTACTGCTGCTACTACTACTACTACTACTACTACTACTACTAATCCTCCTCCTCCTGCTGCTGCTGCTGATCCTGCTGCCGCTGCTGCTGCTGCTGCTGCTGCTGCTGCTGCTGCTGCTGCTGCTGCTGCGTCTACCAGGGTTGGTGATATGAATCCTGCATTACCCATAGTAAGTTAGGAAACCTTAAACCCTAAACCCTAAACCCTAAACTCTAGCCAGGAAAAGGGCGAATCTAGTTCGACCAAGGACGATCATCCCGGCGGATGCGAGACTCGGCCTTTCCAGGGCACCTTGTGGTCTTGGTGCGGCCGTTGACTGGGTTGCTGTTAAGGTTATGATAACGGGGATATGTAGCAACTAGCAGGGTTTCCTTATGATTGCAACTTAGTTTGAGTTCCTGTACAGCAACCCAGTTAGCTTCATGCTTCCTCAGACGCACGCTGTATTCAGGATTTGGGGTCTCAGGCATACAGAAATTTAGAGTTCGTCCCTAAACCCTAAACCCTAAACCCTAAATTCGTAGACAGGTTGAGGGCTTGGGTGTAAGACCCCGAGCCTGTGAAGAGAGGGAAGTTATTTCAGGAAGGTCTGAGAGGGTTTGGGGGTTTAGGAGTTTCGGGCTTAGGGTCGTCTAGTTTAGGGGTTTAGGGTTTAGGAGTTTAGGGTTTAGGGTTTAGGGTTTGGGGTTTAGGAGTTTCTTTTAGGGTCGTCTAGTTTAGGGATTTAGGGTGTATTACGGGGTTTGGGATTTAGGAGTTTAGGGTCTAGGGGTGAGAAAACTGAGGGACCTCGTCAAGAGACAAGTTTAGGCTTTGGGGTTTAGGGTTTAGGGTTTTAGGGTTTAAGGTTTAGGGTTTAGGGTTTTAGGGTTTAAGGTTTAGGCTTCAGGGCTTAGGGTGTTTAAACGGTGTTAAGTTCACATTGAAGACGTCGCAGAAGCGCAACAGCGCACTTGAACAAGCATGTGCTGGCTTACAAGAAGGCCTTCTATCCGGCAGTCTATCCTTGAACTCGCCATCCTAAACCTAAACCCTGAATCCTAAAACCTTACTGCTACAACTGAATTCTAAATCCTTAGTAGCTGAGTGAGTACACTTTACACTTTTTGGGGATTATATGATCCCTTATAGAACTGAAAGTGTACACTTTTTGGGGCTTATGAACTCAGCAACTAAGAATCCTGCGCCCTTGGAAATTTCAGAGGAACCACCA